GGTGGGTTGGGAGGGTTGCACTCACGTTCACTTTGGGGAAGGGAAGACTGAAACCCTTTCCCTTGTGCCTCTTTTAAAACACAGTTGACCTCTTTAATCACACTACTTTAGTGACAGTAGCACTTTTTACATCCCCTGAGACTTTTCGCAGCCCGGTCAGGGAGCCAGTCTCAATGCCCCTATTCTCAGGAGGTCGAGGTATGTGCTCCGGTCTCACGTGGGTGAGCAGCAGCAGTAAAACTACAGCCCTGTCTGCACTCCAAGAGCAGTGAGCCCTCCTGCACCCACGATGGAGTGCGAGGAAGAAAGAAAGAACCAGCCATGCAAAACTCAGAAAAGGAATCCTTTCTCTCCAAAGATTATGAAATCAAAGAGCATTTTGTTGCTGCTTGGAAATTCTCTTTATGACTCGGAGGCCACACAATTCAACAGCGTTTCCATTATTATTATTATTAAAGCACTTGGTCTAGTTCCTGCCTCCTTCTTTACGAACTTTTACACAGACTTGAGAACTCAAGCGTTTACCTGCGCTCAGCCTTGGACGCCGCGAGCTGGTCCTGTGGGCTTCCAGCCCCCTCCTCCCCGGGGCTTGGCAGCAAAGCTCCTGCAAAATCTCGAAATCCCCGGCTCTGCGCGGCCACTGAGAGAAGCAACCCGGCTCTGAACAAGCCCAGGCAAGCCCAGGCGGAGCTGGCTTCTGGGTCCTCCCTCCTGCGCGCGCCACCCGACCCCGGGGCGGGAGACGCGCCTCGACTGCCCGAGATCCGGGGAGCGGGAGCCCTAGCCTGATGGGGCGCCGGCACCGCCTCCACCTGAAAAGGAAAAAGACCCATGTGGAGAAACGAGGGGCAGGTGGGCGCGGCGTCAGCCCGAGCTGGATTGGGTTAGGGGGCGCTGTGGGCACCCGGGTCACGTCGGGGGATGGGGAGTGCGCGCTGCCCAAAGCGCGCTGCTGGGGGAACCGCGCGCTCTCGGCCGTAGGGCGGGTCCCCGGGAACGCGGTCTGGGTCCCGGGCCCCTCTGCCGCCGCCACCTGGGCTGCGTTTCCCTGACCATAGCACTGATTTTGTGCGGCGCCCCTAACCTCTGCCCGCTGCAGGGTCGTCGGGCGCGCCTCCCAGAGCCCATGCCCCGGGCTCCACGGACGTCGTGACCCATCCGGGATCTCCTCAACTTCCGCGGCAGGACTGAACCCGGGAAGGCCAAGGGGGGGGCCTGTAAGAAAGCAAAGAGAAACCACGGGGGAGCTCCCGTGATGCCCAGCCCGGCCGGCCTTTACCCGGGAAGAGGGAAGAAGAAACCCGCGTCCCGAGCGCGCGTGAGGGAAGCGTCCCGGGTCTGGACCTTTAGTTTCCACGACGTTGCCAGCTTAGAGAGCTCGGAAGTCCCACGCAGCTCTGGACTCCAAGAGCGAGGAAAGGACTTCGGGTGCCAGAAACGAGCACCCAGCCGCGGCCACCGCCCGCCTGTCCAGCGCCCCGCCCCCACTCACCGCGCCCCCAAGTTCCGGCGCTGCCGGCCACTGGGGTAAAACTACTCGGCGCGTACAGGGGTGCTGGAGACTGGCGGGGGGCACAGCGGAGGCGAGGCGCTCCGGCGCTGGGGACACGG